GTCTCTATGTCTCTCTCTGTCTGTCTGGCGAGCGCACGCGCCCTACAGTGAAAAATCTCTCCAAAAAAAAAAAAAAAAAAAGACTAAATATGGAACTATTCATTTTTTTCTATTGATAATAGAGAAAGCTATTGTTAGAGGACTCATCATTAAGAGCTATCACAAGGAGGGGACCAGTAGATGGCATAACGATTACATCACTGGACTCCCACAGTTCAAGTCGATCACAGTTCAAGTCCTAGACCCAGTGGCTTACAGTTCACACTGGACATATGTGTATGCATGCCCAAAATCCCAAAAGGAGAATGAAGAAGAAGGGATTGTGGTGTGATCATCTCCCCTGGGGGCATGATTTCTCATTTTTCTCCTCTCTGTCTCTCTGGTGAGTGCACATGCTCTATAGCAAAAAACTATTAAAAAAAAAAAAAAAAAAAGCTAACACAAGGGGAAGAAAGGGAAAAGAACTGGGAAAAAAAAGTAGCTTGATAAAAAAAAAAGCCTGATTATTTCAGAGTTCAGCCTAATCTAACTTGCCTTCTTTATTACTCCTGGGACCAAAAGTTACTTCTTACTAAAAAGAATTATGGTCAAAGCAACTTACTGGGTCACTGGAAAAGTCATGACATGTTTTTCTATGCCAAAAGCATCATGACCTTTCCAACAACCCAATAAAATATAGTCTTTTGCTCATTTTTTCAAAAAGTTTATCTATCTGTTCTATGAGAGAGAGAGGCACTCCCAATAGAGTTCTGATACCTCAATCTACCCCTAGGCTTAGTTGGCCTGGATTATAGGAATGCATGCACATACCGAGCATGCTCAGATAGGTCCCAGGGACACAAATTCAGGACCTCTCCCAGTAGTATCACCACTGAGCTACCATCTAGCCCCCTTTGCTCATTTTAATGAGGTTACTTGGGGTTTTGTTGTTGAGTCATAAGTTTTTTAAGTGTTCTGGATATTAACCTTTTTATGAAACAAAGGCATTTCTCTAAGCATGACTGCCACATAGAACAAAAATCAAAAGAGAGGGGCCAGTAGGTGGCATGGTAATTAAGGCACTGGACTCCCACGTGGCCAACCACAAGTCAAGCCCCGGATCCCTCAGCTTGAAAATCATGCTAGTCACATGGGCATATGTGCCCAAAATCCTGAGAGGAGAATGGAAAAGGGATTTCGGCATGGCCATCCCCTTGGAGGGGGTGATTTCTCATGTTCCCTCTTCTTATCTCTCTCTGTCTGTCTCTGGTGAGGGCACACACCATATGGCAAAATGTAAGGGAAAAAAATAATCAAAAAAGATACTTTATTACAGGAATAACATCACTAATCACTAGAGAAATGCAAATCATCTTATGTGTATAAAATAAAAATAAATACATAACAGAAAATAACAAGAGTTGGTAGGGTAGAGAGAAATTAGAACTATTTTTTTAAGAGATTTTTGCTATAGGATATGTGCACTCACTAGAGAGACAGAGAGACACAGAGAGACAGAAGGTGAGAAATCACCCCCCAGGGGGGATGACCAAGCATCAGTCCCTTCCCCTTCATTCTCCTCTCAGGATTTTGGGCATGCACACACACACATGCCTAGCGTGAGTTTAAGCTGCCAGGTTCGGACCTTGAACCACAGTTTACTATGTGGGAGTCCAGTGACATAACTATTATGCCATATGCCAGTTCCAGAACTGGAAATTTTGTGCCCTCATCTTAGAACTGTAAAATAATACAGTCATTACAGAAAACAGTATAACTGTCTCAAAAGATTTAAAATAGAATTACTGTCTAATCCAGCAATTCCCACTTCTGAGTATATATTCAAAAGAATTGAAAGCAAGACCTCAAAGAAGTATTTGTAAGCCCAGGTTCATTGCAGCAGTACTCAGTTACCTAAAAGTCATTAATGAATGAATGAACAGAGAAAAATGTTACATCTATAAACATGGAGCATTTGTCAGCCTTTAGAAAGAAAGAAATTCTCTCACTTGCTACAACATAAATAAATGTTGAGGACATTATGCTAAGTAAAATAAGAAGTCACAAAAAGACAAATATTGTATGATTCCACTTCAGTAAGATATTTAAAAAGTAGTCAAACTCATAGAAACAGTAGAATTGTGGATGCCAGGAGCTGTGGAGAGGGGATAAGAGGAAGTTGTTTTTCATGGAATTAGAGTCTCAATTTTGCAAGATAAAAAGGTTCTAGAGCTCATTTACTTAACAAAGTGAATATAGGTAGCACTAATAACTATACTTAAAAATGTGTAAGATGGTAAATTTTACATTTTAAAATTAAAAATAATAAAATAAAATTTGATTGCAACTATTTTAATACAAACAGAATAAAAATTATATCTTAATAATGCATTAATCAGGTCAGCTGTGGCATGACAGTTAACACTGCTGGAATCCACATGACCAACTTGCAGTTCATGTCTTGGACCCACGGGTTTAAAAAACATGCCAGGCTCATGTGTGTCTGTGCCCAAAGTTCCAAAGAGAGAACTGGAGGAGTGTGTGGTATGACTGTCCCATGTGGGAGGGAGTGCTCTCTCACTTTCCCTCTCTTTCTCTCTGCAAGAACATAAGCACTATAGCAAATTTTAAAAGAGAGAGAGAAAAGGCATGGTTAGTAGCATGGTAGTTAAGGCAGCTGGATCTCACATGGCAAACCACACAACTCAAATCCTAGACTCAGCAGTTTGAGAAACATGCTGGGTACATGTGTGTGAACGCCCAAAATCCTAAAAAGAGAAACAGGAAAAAGAGTTGTGGCATGACTATCACCATGGGAGATGTATTCTCACTTTCCTCTCTCTCTCTCTCTGTCTCTCTCTGGCAAGCATGCATGCCCTTTAGGGGGGAAAAAAATGTCTATGTTGACCTGCCTTGTTCTTTTGGTAAAGGTCAGCTAATTGTTTTAAGAGTCTATGTTTATCGGGACCAGCAGTTAGCGTAATGGCTATGTCGCTAGATTCCCACGTAGTCGACCGCGGTTCGAGTCCCAGACCCGGTGGCTTAAACTCATGCCGGGCACGTGTGCATGTGTGACCAAGATCCCGAGAGGAGAATGGAGGAGAAGGGATTGTGGTGTGGTCATCCCCCCGGGGGGTGATTTCCTGCTTTCTGTCTCTCTGTCTCTCTCTGTCTGGTGAGTACACGCGCCCTATAGCAAAAATCTCTCCAAAAAAAAAAGTCTATGTTTATCCATTTACCTTCATGTCTATTCTTCTTATAATATCTTGACCTCTTCATTGATATTGAGTTATTAATACATTTTTAAAAGAATGCATTAATTCAGAAAAGCTAGAAAATAAATAAATAATAAAATTCACAATCCTCTCAAATATATACCAATTCTCTTTGGTACTTACTGAATTGGAGAGTTCATTGAAATGAGCACAGTGAATATTCACTAAAAATTTGTTTTTGGGGGGCAGCAGATGGAGTAGTGGTTACATCACTGGACTCCCACATGACTGACCATGCTTCCAGACCCAGTGGTTTGAAATTCATGCTGGGTGCATGTGCATGTGTGTCCCACAAGAAGAGAATGGAGAAGGGATTGTGGTATTGCCATCCTCCTGGTGGGGGGAGGGTCTCACCTTTCCTCTCTCTCTCTGTCTCTGTCTCTCTCTCTCTCTGGTGAGCACATGCTCCCTAAGACAAACACTTCTAAAAAAAAAAGTTGTTTTTACATTATTTCTTATCTTTTTCATTTTCTCTACTCAACCTGTCCCCAACTCAAAATATATGTGCTGAATCAAGGTTAAAAAAAAGAAAGAAAGAAAGAAAAAGAAAAGAAAAAGAAAGGAATGAAGCATTCTGCTCTTCTCTTCACTTTGAAGTTCTCCAAAACAGGTACCAAAATTTTATTTCAGTAACAATAAAGAAAAAATTGAAGATAAGCTCAATTCCAGTCTTCAAATTACATAAGCCAGATTATTTCTTCCATTTCAGGCTCAAGATGACAGCTTTACCAGGTAATAGGCAAATACTTGATTCTGAGAACACAAGATTTTTAAAACAAAATCAGAAATTTATTTAAATATCCACAATTAATGTACCAGAACTAATCTCAAATTAAAGGCGGCAAAAATAAAAGACAACACTTTAAGCAGCTTGCCTGCAAAATAATAATTCAATTAAAAAATGGGCAAATGAGTTGAACAGATATCTTTCCAAGGAAGACATATGAATGACCAAAAAGCGTACCCAAAAAAAATGCTCAAAATCTCTTATTGTATGGGAAATACAAATAAAAACCACAATGAGATATCACTTAACCCCAATCAGAATGACTAATGAAAAAAGTAGTAAGTGCTGGCAAGGCTTCAGTGAAAAGGGAACCCTCCTACACTGTTCGTGAGAATATAAATTAGTACAGACATTATGGAGAACAATATGAAGGTTCCACAAAAAGCTAAAAATACAACTATCACATGAACCAACAATTCCACTCCTGGGTATCTACCCGAGGATAGGAAAACACTCAGTTCAAAAAACACTTGCACAACATTATTCACAATTGCTAAGACATGGAATTAACACAAATGTCCAAAAAGAGATGGATGGATGGAAAAATGTGGTCCATTTAACTTAGCCATTTAAAAAAAAAAATGAGACCCTGAAATTTGATACAAAGTGGGTGAATATGGAAGATTTAACGCTGAACGAAAAACAGCAGACCATGAAAGAGAAGTACTGTACGTCCCCACTTAATATATACCAAATGTCAACACTCTATGGCAGAAACTGAAATATTAGAAGGTATACTATCAGGGAGAACAACCGTAGATACTACAGACAGTGGGCGAGGGGTAGGCAATAGGGTGAGGAAGGGAAGGCACTAGAGGAAAAACAAAACATTTAACACAAATATAGAAAGTTATCTGCTGATGATAATGTATATGGTAATATCTCTAACTAGACTAATATACAATGTATTCATGCTGGGAAAAATCATTTTGTATGTTTAAAGATGTACACTGATTAAATGTAAAAAAAAAGAGAAACAGTACACATATGAGATAACAATTTCTTTACTAAACAATGAAATACAAAATAAGAAAATACTTATAAAGGAATAGCTTATTCCATTAGGAAATATCTCATTCTACACTCTCTTTGAACTGACATTCCATCAACTTCATCATATTTTCTTTCTTCATTTCTGTTTGGATGAAAAATGCCATAATAAACAATAAGAAAAATAATTCCAAAGATAAAAGTAAGAACTATGGTGATACTAATAGGTAAAAAATGGTCTGAATTAAAAATAGAGAGTGGGAAAACCCAGAACACAATCAATATCCCCAGTGTGGCTAGTACTCTTACAATATAATAACAAGACATTGGACATTTAGTATTCTGTCCCTTAATATTAAAAAATGTAAACACAAGAATGAATCCAACAACAATCCTGTATAACAATTCCATACCTTTGGAAGTACAAAACTGAGTTTGCTTTTTAAATGCCCATATTACACCTAAAGACCAAAGAAATAATAACAGAAATAAAGCAATGTTAATGTTTAAGAATAGAAGAAGTACAATACTCAGCATCCAAGATAATAATGTAAACAACTTATAAAAGAGATATGTGATTTTAGGGCAACAGCCTTTAAAGAGGTTTTTATCAGGCAAAGATTTTCTTAAAGCTATTTGATAATCAACAGTTGACCAAGAAATAGCACAGCAAGAGACCACGATAGCAGCATCTATGAAACAAACAAACAAAATATATGTTTTAGGAATAATACTACTAATATTAAATTACTATATGCTATAAAGGCTTTACCTGTATACACATCCACCCACAAACATGTCAGGTACTTTGAATAATCATCTCATCCTTCCAGACAGATACTAATATTCCAGTAGTATACATGAAGGCACAGAGGCTTGGAGACATACACAAGGGAACTTAAACAGTTCACAGAAGGAGCTAGAAAGTGGCATGGTAGTTAAGGTGCTGTTCACCCACACAGCCAACTGTGATTTGAGTCCTAGAACCAGCAGTATGAAAATCACACCAGGTGTGTGTGTGTATACCCAAGAGAACAGAGAAGGGATTGTGGCATAGCCATCTCCCTAGGGAGAGATTTCTCACTTTCTCTCTCTCTGGTGAGAATATGCTCCCTATGGCAAAAACTGGGGGAAAATTAGTAGAAAAATAAAGAATGAAGTATCAGTTTATTTTGGTGTAAAAAATTTGAAATCCATGCATAGTTTGAGCCTAACACACATTTTCCATTAATTTTTAGAAGACCCATCACATTATTTGACCCAAGTCACCCAGGTGGCAATTTGTGTACTGAGATTTGAACCAAAGTTGGTGTATTTATCTGTGAAGACTATTATACACTGATTTTGAATAAAGTCATTAGACAAATTTTATTAAGGAACTGGTATACTGGAAACTGAATATTCTGGAAATTAAGAAACTATTGGTTACAATTCTAGCTTTTCTATACTTTTGGCCTTGATTTTGGGTATATCTTAATGTATTAAGAAGAGCTTAATAGGAAGAGTATTAAACAGAAAAAAATTTGTTTTGGCCGGGGAGAGGTTTTTGCTATAGGGTGTGTGCGCTCAACAGAAAGACAGAGACAGAAAGCAAGAAATCACTCCCCAGGGGAAAATGGCCACACCGCAATCCCTTCTCCTCCATTCTCTCGGGATCTTGGGCACACACACACACATGCCTGTTGTGAGTTTAAGCCACTGGGTTCAGGACTCGAACCACGGAGTCCAGCGACATAGCCATTACACCAACTGCTGGTCCCATTAAACAGAAAATTTAAACACAGGTATAATAAAACAGAAACACCTTCATCTGAACTTTATTTATATTAGACTTGCTTCCTCCTCTTGCCCAGAATAAACATAGTGATTAATACTCTTACTGTCATGGCTAACTATCCAGAAACCTTTTTGTTTAGATGTTCCTTAGCAATGCAACTACCTATCACCAGAACCCTGCCTAGAGCCATGAGGACCATTAAACAAATGTCTGGAAAGTGCCCTTAGAAATTATTAACCTATGGGCCAGCAGGTGGTGTGGTGGTTAAAGGTGCTGGACTCCCACATGGCCGACCAGTTCAAGTCCTGGATTCAGTAGTTTGCTTTTTCACTTTCCCTCTTTTTCTGTCTTTCTCTCTGATCAAACTAATAACAACAACGATGACAACAACAATAATACTAAATAAAGTTAAATAAAAAATAATTCTTAAAAAAAAAAGAAATTATGGGAACCAGCAGTTACCGTAATGGCTATGTCACTGGACTCCCACATAGTCAACCGCGGTTCGCATCCCAGACCTGGTGGCTTAAAACTCACGCCGGGCACGTGTGCGTGCGTGCCCAAGATCCCGAGAGGAGAATGGAGGAGAAGGGATTGCAGCATGACCATCCCCCCTGGGGGGTGATTTCTCACTTTCTGTCTCTATGTCTCTCTCTGTCTGTCTGGCGAGCACACGTGCCCTATAGCGAAAAAAAAAAAAAAAACTCTCAAAAAAAAAAAAGAAAGAAATTATTAACCTGTTTGATTTAGCTTCTGTAACTGCTTTTGCAAAACAACCCAACTCCCTTTCCTCTCTACTCTCTCCTCATTTTCCATTGTAATCACCATGTCATCCCAGAAATCATCGTGATTTTTTACCTTTGTAAGCACCCCTCTCTTTTCACTTGGGGCTGCAGGGTCTCTGAAAGACATAAGTCCTCCCATAAGCCACGGGCAATAAAACTCAAATAATGTGGTTATATCCGGATGTCCTGTAATTTCTCACTGGTTTGACTGCAACATTTGGAGGCCCTAGTGAGATTAGTACCTATAGGTACTTGTGTGAGGCATCCAAGGAGAGCAGCCTCACCTGGATTGGCTGCCAAATACCTGAAGGATCTCTAGGGGAGGCACCACCTGGGACTTCCCAGGGCCCAATAGCCACCTTTCAGGATTATTGATGGCCAGGCAGGAGACACCAACTGTTCCTTCAAAATTGTAAAGTACTAGTAAAAGACCTCTGGATGCCTTTTTCTTATGATGTTCCTATCTTTCTTCAACTCTTTTGTGAGACTGGAAAATTGGTGAGTTCAGGGTTGGCATGGAGGGCATCCCCTGGTTAGAGTCCAGGGATGACTGGATGCAGTTAAAGAACCCCTACTCAGATTCCACTCAGATTGCTGGAAAGAGGAACTAGGTAGACAATACCTAGCAGTGTATTTCATTGGCTTGGGGTTGGAGTTCCCCCAATGAGTAAATTCTCTTTGATGAGCCATTTCTGCTTTTCCTGTCATTTTAAATCTCAGGGACTTAAGTTCCCCCAATAAGTGAGTTCTCTTTTATGGGCCCTTTCTGCTATCCTGTCATTTTAAATATTTCCTCCAAACCCTCCTAGAAAATCACTTGGTTCTATCCCTTGTCTTCTTCATTTGAGGACATCTGTCAGTAGATTACTGATATCGTCTGTCAGAGAGCTTTCCAAGATCTTCATCCCATTAAATTTGATCTCTTTGTCTTTCTTCTTTTCTTAATTGTATAACTAGCAGGAGGGAATGATTTTAGTCTCTTGTGTGATGGTGAATGAGTGACTGTGTGACTGTGTTCATGACTCCATGGTCTCAACTACGGAATCTAAGTGGGTCCTCACCTGCACTTCCGTGATTACCTCATGCAGCTACGGGCAGTTCTGGGAGTAGATGATGATCTCATTCCCTGTGGTCTCAGCCTAAGCAGAGGGTTTATATCTACCAGCCAAAGTTAAGAGTCACCAGAGTTCCCATGGAAACTAAATAATCTACTCCTGAATGACTTCACAACTACTGAAGAAGTAAAGACTGAAAACAAAAGATTCATGGAAGCCAATGACAATGAGCACATGAGTTTCCATAACCTTTGGGACACTGCTAAAGCAGTCACAAAAGGGAAGTTCATAGCAATTTGGGCACATAAGAAGACAATGAAAAGAAGGCAAATAAATCACCTAACATCGTGTCTCAGAGAACTGGAAAAGCAACGGCAAAAAAAAAAAAAAAAATCCAAAATCTCCCAGAGAAAGGAAATAACGAGCAGAAATAAATGAAATAAAAAATAAAAGAACTATACAGAAAATAAATGGAAATAAAATCTGATTCTTTGAAAAAAAAATCGATATACCACTAGCGAGACTTCTTAAGAAAAGAGAAAGGAACCAGTTAAATCAAATCTGCAATGACGCAGGCAGTATAACAACAGACATAGTAGAAATACAAAACATCATTAGAGGATACTATGAACAACTATATGCCAAGAAACAAGACAATCTGGATGAGATAGACAAATTCCTGAACACATATAATCTACCAAGATTGAACCAGGAGGATATAGAAAGTCTGAATAGGCCCATAACAAGCCAGGAGATTGAATCAGTAATAAATAACCTCCCAACAAAGAAAAGCCCTGGTCCTGATGGCTTCACCTCTGAATTCTACAAAACTTTCAAAGCAGAGTTAACCCCCATTCTGCTCAAGTTATTTCTAACGATACAAAAGGGTGAATCTCTCCCTAATCATTCTATGAAGCCTCCATCACCCTTATCCTTAAAACGCATAAGGACAGGACAAGGAAGGAAAAGTATAGACCAATATCTCTGATGAATATAGATGCAAAGATTCTCAACAAGATACTAGCTAATCGTATTCAACAACTTATAAAAAAGATTATACATCATTATCAGGTAGGTTTTATTCCAGGAATGCAAGATTGGTTCAACATACACAAAACCATAAATGTAATACCCCATATTAACAGGAAGAAAGATAAAAAACCATATGATCTTCTCAATTGATGCAGAAAAAGCATTTGATAAGATACAACATCCCTTCATGATTAAGACTCTCAGCAGTATCAGCATAGAATGGTCATTTCTCAACAAAATAAAAGCTATCTATGAAAAACCCATAGCGAACATCATTCTGAATGGAGAAAAGCTGAAAACTTTTCCACTAAAAACTGGTACAAGACACGGATATCCACTTTCTCCACTCCTTTTCAATAGTACTCAAAGTCCTCACCAACACAATCAGAAAAGAGGAAAAAATAAAAGTTATTCAAATAGGAAAAGAGGTGAAACTCTATTTGCAGATGACATGACTGTGTACATAGAAGACACAATGGTATCCATGAAAATATTCCAGGCAGTAATACATGAAAACAGTAAAGATGCAGGATATGAAATAAACATACAGAAATCTATAGCATTTCAATATATAAATAGCAGGCAGACTGAGATAGAACTAAAAAAAGTAATCCCATTTACCATAGCCACAAAAAGTATAAGATACCTAGGAATAGATTTAAACAAAGAAATTAAAAACCTCCACAAGGAAAACTACAAGAAGCTAAAAAAAGAAACTGAAAATGACACAAAAAAGTGTTAGGATATCCCATGTTCTTGGATTGGAAGAATTAATATAATTAAAATGGCAATTCTATGCAAGTTAATCTACATATTTAATGCAATGCCAATCAAAATACCAGACACATTCTTCACAGATCTAGAAAAGACAATCATAAAATTTGTCTGGAAACATAAAAGACCTCTTATTGCCAAAGCAATCCTGAAGAAGAAGAGTGGAGTGGGTGGCATCTCACTCCCTGACCCAAAAGTACGCTACAAAGCTGTGTTAATCAAAACAGCATGGTACTGGCACAGAAACAGACATGTGTACCAATGGAACA